TTTCACTTTTAGAAATTATTTTTATAAAAAATGTTTTCCTTTAAAATTTTCGACCAAGTCCTTAGTTTGAGTTCAGTCACACCCGAGAATGTGCCCGAATCCCTCAAACCAAGGCTCTGATACCAACTTGTAACATCCAAAAATATGGTCCCCAAAAAAATTGTTTTTAATAATAAACAAAAGAGTATTTTCGAATAATCATCCAAACATTTAAATAAAACTCCAAGTATCATTTGACATAAATCAGAGTGAAAATCATAATCGAAAATCTCAACGGTGTGTGTAATGAAGTCATCCCGAGCTCCTCCCCTTGGAACCAGAAGTACCTGAAACATAAACTCAAATCGTCAGCACAACGCTTAGTGAATTCCCCTAAAATACCACATACCAAACATGCAATAAACATATAGTGGGCCCCGCCCGGCATTGAGCTGAGCTCTGTAAAACGGGCCCCGCCCAACATATAATAACATATATCAAAATAAAGACATACACATGTAGTAATCACAGAGACACATAGCATACAGATATCCATCGGGCCCCGCCCGACATTGGGCCTTAACCCGGAAAACATATAGACACAGCACATGCAAGATTCATGGAGACAACTAGCATACCAATAACATAATGTAAACATGGGCCGGCCTTGGTGCCTTCAGCCCGCTAAGTCCGATAAGGAAACTCACCTCGAATGCTGAAAGATAACTGGATAAATCCCCGGCCCAGGAAACAGCTCTACTCAATCCCTAAACAGAAATAATCCATTAGATACCGATCAATATTTCAAAACCCCTTAAAGGTTAACTTGGCCAAAGTCAAAGTAAAAGTCAACGCTACGAGTTGACTCAACTCGTCGAGTTATCCCACAACTCGCCGAGTTTCCATTAAGTACAGAATTGCGATATTTCAATCCTACTCGCCGAGTTTCCCTTTAACTCGTCGAGTTCTTCTTTTTTCAACAAAATCGGGACAATCCCAACCCAACTTGTCGAGTTCCCTTAAGAAATTGTCGAGTTCTTCGATCAGCCAACCCACTTAATGCATTAAACCACTATTCTTCAAACCAAAGCCCTATCTTCCAGATCTAGACTGATAATACGTCTAGAAGGGTAAAATTTCCAGCTTTACCCATTAAGAACCACTCCAAAGGCATTAAGCTCAAACCCTAATCCTAAATGGCTTATGTCTTAATCCAAAACCACTATATCTTCAAGATAGAACTCATGAACACAGATTTGGACATTAAAGTCTAAAAGGTCACGTAAAGTCTTTAACTTTACACACATGCATGGACAAATGAAGCTTAAAAGGCTAAAGCGAAGTCTTAAAGGACGCATGGAGCTCTTAGGGCCATAAATTTGGCACCTTTATGCCATGAAATCTCCTTAAGACCCGAGATCTGAAAGAGTTTTTCCATATGGGACGTCCAACTCCAAATGACCACTTCATTTGGACAAAAACAAGAAAAAGAAACACTAAGATGAAGATCTAAACAACCACAAAGCAAGTTTAAGACGTTTTACCAGAAATATGTCGAAAATGAAGCAAGGATTCTGGATCTAGCAGCTCCTTCTTGTATCTCCCAAGCTTCCCTTTCTTCCAATGGCTTCAAAAAGACACACACACACACGCACACACTCAAAAATGGCTCACAAACTCTTAAAAGTGCCTTAGAGTTTCGAGGTAAGGATTTAGGGAAATGGAGGTTGGAAATGAGGCCAACTTGTGTAGTTAATGTTGTTTAAATAGGGTGCAAAACCCCGAAATTAGGGTTTCATTTCTTCCAGCCAACTCGTCGAGTTGATACCTCCCAACTCGTCGAGGTGATCACTTAAAATACGTGGTCCATATCATTTCAACACGAGGAGTTCGGGGCCACCAACTCGTCGAGTTCGGGGCTATTTTTGAATTTTCATGGAAAATAAACTCTTTGCACAATTTACCTTCCCTGGATAAAAACGTATATCAAAAGTACACAAAAGGTCAGTCCTTTTTTCAATCCATTCACAGACATATTTCTCTTGTTCTTTGGGTGTATCAAAATTTATCTTGTCAGGGTATAGATATTCTTGATCATTCTTAGATAGTCATAGAATTACTAAAGTAACAACAATTACTTAGAACCAAAAGTTATATTAATAATCCATCTCCAGCTTTCCCAGCCAGATCAACACGAAGCAACTGATCAAGCACCACTCCATTCTACAAATTTAGGGTAATTAATAGTCTTTTATTCATTTTGCTATATTAATATCAAAGTTTTCAATCATATGACTTGAATGAACAATTACTTCTGAAAATGATGCAGATTACAGCTACATTAATCAGAAGATGGGCAAACTCCAAATGTTGTTAAATTGATTCTTCATCAAAGATAAACCCATCTAGTTTAAAAGTTTTATAGTGTTAGTCAGTGGTTTCCAGATCATAGACAATTCAGAAATGATGGAATCAAATTTGGCAAATGGAGGGAACCAAAAAAAATTAGCTTCCTGTTAAGGATTAAAGAAGCAAATAAATTGAAGGTCAAAGAACTACATGAGTGGGGTTTTACATTTTATTTTATGGATATTTTTCACTTAGATGAAAAGTAAGATTTATACTGATTTGCTAAAATATAAGATATATATATATATATATATATATATATATATATATATATATATATATATATATATATATATATATATGAAGATTTAAAGTTTGAACACCATGCCCCACACCATTAACAAGAAAAACATGAACATAGAAATATAAACACATGATAGGATCCACCACCACTACTAGAAAAACAGTCTTTTACGATGCGCAATGCGTGTCGTAAAACACTCAGACGACGCGCAAATGCGTGTCAAGGAAGGCTCTGTCATAAGGAGAGACGACACGCTCTTGCGCGTCGTCTATTTACGACGCGCATTTACGACGCGTAGTTACGACACACAATGAGTATCAAGGAAGGCCCTGTCATAAAGGAAGGCCCTGTCATAAAGGAAGACGACACACATTTGCGTGTCGTAACCTTACGACGCGCGTTTAGGAGACGCATTGCGTATCATTAAAGCCCCTGTCATAAATGAAGATGGCACGTATTTGCGTGTCATAATTTTAAATGTTTTAAAAATATATATATTTGTGATAGAATTACTAATTTTCAAATTAAACAACATATTAAAATTATCATAATACAAAATAAAATACCATACATAAGAATAATAATTCATTTCGAAAAAATATCACATGTCAAACAAGTTACCTAACATTACATGTCAAACAACACTACATGTCAACACTAATAACACTTTAAAACATGATTTTTCCTGCATTTGGAGCACCCACTATTCCTATATCAGCAACCAACTTTAGGTCCAATTCCAACCACCTGTAAAAGAACAACATTGTAAAAGAACAACATTAAAAGATCAACATTTTCTTCTCCACTTAACCTCTTTAAAAAGCTTCTCCACTTAACCTCTTTATCAAGTCTCACATTAATTTTCAAAGGATAACACAAATACTCTCACGTTCATTTTTCAATATGCACATCTTTTAACTTAAATAATTGTTGGGAAAAAATAAAGATGAGGTTTAGGAGAAATAGCTTGGTCTTTTTTGTATTCTTCATTTAAGAAGCATAACTTGAAGATATATTAAAAATGACATTATCACTAAATTATATATAACGATTATCTTGAATGCATTGAGCTTAGGATCATCAATTAGATACTATATTTTAAACATATGAGATTTTAAACATATGAGGTTTCCTAATGATAAAATTTCTTGGTGAACATACACAAAGCAAAATATTTAAATTATCTAAAAGACTATTAAGCATGAATTTGGTAAACTATCATATACAGGCTATGAAATAAATACCAGCTGAAGCAGCAAACTATTAAAAAAAATCTTTGTTAGGCTAATATTGTATAGATTATCTTCTTAGGTTTTAATTGCAACACTAATAAAAATAAAATATCCTCATAAATTTTTAAATTTTAATATATATATATATATATATATATATATATATATATATATATATATATAATCGGGTATTAAACGGGGCAGATATTGTCATACCAGTCACCGACCCGTACCCGCTTCGGATATAAAAAATAGAACTGGTCCCCGCCTGATTACCCGTCAAGTCGGGGAATACTGCCATGTTCGGGTCAGGTCCCCGCGGGTCAAACTTACATCCCTAGTTTCTATATATTTTTCCATTTAGATTAATCTATGCAGACAAGACACAAATGCCCCCAAAAAATAAACTTGGTATGAAATGAGACTTACACAAGCGGTTGCATTAGTAGTTTCATTTAGAATGATTGTAGGGCTGCAGGCTACTCACTATTGATTTTTACTTCAAATCAAGAAGCAATTCTTCTGTTTTTTGTGACTACCATTTATGTAAAACAATATATTATTCAATTTCAAATCAAGTCTTTTGTTGGGTTCCTACTTCCTTCAGGTTTGGAGGCAAGATCAAATGCCTTTAAATATTTTGCCTCCACAAATTGTAGTGCCTACATTTAAAAAACATATCAAGAAATGTTCCAAAGGGCAAAAAAGTCATTTTTTGCAACACAAATGGATGTAGCATCTGAATACAGAATTAAGACACATTTGTTATTGGAATGGTTTTGATTTCAGTCTGAAGAAGTTTGCAAACCCCACCAGCTCTACATCATCATTTGTGACAATTAATTTAGTTAAAACTTTTAACCGTAATTGCTTTCAAATATGGGGAACTTTTCAATACTACAGATGCATGTATCACAATCTTAGGAAATAGTATTCAGTACCTGACTGTCTGATCCAACTAAGAACACCCACGAAAAAGAATCCCAAAACTGAACACTCCATTTAATAATTTTCGGATTCCATTTTTATCACAATTCCATTATTTTTCAAAATCATGCTATAAACCAAATGCAATTTTAGAGTTTTAAAAACTTATGAGATATCAGAATAAAATCCAAGGACTAATTAAGGAATCGTCACTCCTGCGAGGGGCTTTTTTTCATGATGTATCTGTCTAGTGGATTAAAACCCAAGGCTGTTGCAGGTGGGCCATCCTTAACCAGATCCACCCATAGAAGCTGAACTGAAATCAAGCCTTTTGGAATCCCAATGGCAGAAGTTAGAAAGATGCTAGCAACCTCACCAATATTTGAAGAAATCAGATACCTGTCAGACACAAGTGGACAAAATGCAATTAGTTTCAGACTATGTTTAACTATGGTAGTGTTTGGTTAACTAACCGGATAAAGGCTTTCATATTGTTGTAAATGGATCTGCCTTCTCCAACTACAGCCACAATCGTGCTAAAATTATCATCAGTCAGAACCATGTCAACAACCTCCTTTGCAACCTGGAGAAAAAAAACGCCAAAAATATTCGCATTAAATTTATGTCTACAAAAAGAGTACATTCATCATCTCTATTAGAATACACTTACGTCAGTTCCATCAATGCCCATTGCAATCCCAATATCAGCCAATTTCAAAGCAGGTGCATCATTCACACCATCACAAGTCCTGCTAAGCCAGCGAATTAACTGCTTACCCGAAGTCCTGCTAAGCCAGCGAAGGTTATATTACTTTCGATTAAAGGGTAAGAGGCATGATTAAGTAAAAGTTTATGAGCACGATGTTCTTCATCCCTATTATATGTTGCAAACTCTGAAGGGTCATCTTTGTATGCAAAACCCAATACACTTAATGCACTTGAGGACAATTCATTAAGGTTGTCTAGGATTACTGATTTTGCCTTCTCATCAAGTTCAACAACAGACCCATCTGACAACTAGATGTAGGAGCTTCTTTCTAAGAAGTTCTCAACAAAACCCTGTCAAAAATTTAGCACCTATTTTGTTAATTCTTTCCATTTGGACAAACATTAGACATTAAAATGAAAAAAAAAAACCCTAAAACCAAATATGGGATTGTTTTACTTTTATCTTTACAAGCAGGGACTTTTTCCCATAGTTTTAGGATACAATAACCCCCATAGATTTCCTATCACGATCAAATTCAAGAGTGGCAATCATGTGCTCGTTTTGGTAGGACTAGCTGCCAAATCATTCATGACATTTAACTCAAAACCTCAATGCAAACATATTCATAAAAAAGAAACAAAAATTATCAACGATCTAAGCATAGTGAGTTCTTTAATGGAAGAATAACCTAAAAAAAGAATACGAACCTGAGATAGAGACTGGGCTGATTGACCATGGTCGATCTGGTAGCCACCAGCAACGCGGTTCTGAGTTTGCTTCTCGATCGCTATAATGCCCGTGTTTCTAGGCTAGGCATTAATATTGACATGATAGTCTAGGTTAACCTTTGTGACTCATTTTGGAGAAATGAAAAGGAATTATGTGAAAATTATGTGTTTTATGTGTTTTATGCTTAATTATTAGGATTTAATTAATTGAGTTTAAAAATGAGTGTCGTAAATAAATATTAGATAAACCTGATATTTATTAAGAAAGTTGTAGTGGTCGTGACAAGGATTACGGATATATAAAGAATGCCGAAATCCGAGTTATAACGAAGAAGTTATGACCTGTCGAAGTTTCGACAAAACCGGCACGGTGCTGAATGTCGTAAAAAGTGAGTTTTCGATAAACTACTTTTTAGCCTTGGTGATCTAAACGAAACTCGTAGTGTTCGTTAAACCGAGAGTAGGTATAAAAAGAACACCCAAATCTGACTTCGTATGAGGAAGTTATGATTTTTCGAAGTTTCAGCTTAGTAGTAGACAGCTAAAAACTCGAATTATAGATCGAGTGATTTTTAGCCTACACAACCTAAATGAGAATCGAAGGTCTCGTAAATAGTAGCACAACGGTAAAAAGTCTGACGAAAACGGACGTCGGATGAAGAAATTATGAATTTTTAACGGATTTCCTGTCCCGGTCTGTTAAAAATAATAATATAAAAATTAAAATCAAAGTTAGCCGACGAAGTCTAAACGGAAGTTGTAGAGCGTAATTTTACCTACGCGTGCATATAAAGAACGTCAAAAACGGAGCTCGTATGCGAAAGTTAAGGATTTTAGAAGTTTTGGCGCGAAAACCGAGAAATTTCGCATAGGTGGCTTCGGCCACGTCACCTTCGCTTAGAACGTGCCATGTGTCCGAAATTGGTGAGTCATGCGAGCCACGTGTCCGAGCTGCTGAGTCATCCGATCTCGTGAGCTGATCCGAAGTGGTCCACTGAGAAGGCGACACGTACACTCTAGCACATGTCCGAACCCTCGCATGAATGCCACGGATGCCCCTACTTCGGACCTAGACCTCGGTCCAATCACAAGAGGCCAGCAGCCACTTCGCACGCGCAGCCCTCGTGCGAGCCCTCCCCTGCGAGCTTCGGATCTTCGCCACCTGCAGGCTTCTCAGCCGTTGGATCAGGAGGCTCGCTCCTATAAATAGGAGGGTGCGAGACCTCCCGGGTTTATTTTGGAAAAGTGTCAATTTTAGCCCCTAAACTCATATTTCTTTCATATTAACATCCCCCGAAGCCCCGGTATCGATTATAACCCCCGGAATACGCCACGAAGTGCCCGTGAAGCCCGGAAAATTTATCTTTTCGGTTTTGTAGCCTGACCTTTCGCAGAGCCCGGTTTCTCAATAAAACTCCCGGTTTTATTAGAAACGAACGTTTTAGGAAAAGAATTGCTGCCCGGTTATCATCAAATCATGTGAGTGTATAGTCACTTTCATCTTACACATAGATATGAAGTATTTTATATAAAATACGTGATATGTGTATATATGTTGTTTGTTTATTTGAGATGGATGTTGAATGAATGTTTTATACATGTTTAAAATGATTTAAAATGTATATATATATTTTATCTTCAAATATGTTGGGTAAAACATGGGTAGATAAAGTATGAGGGATAGAAGTACAGTATAGATGTACGTTGGTAGCTATGAATTTAGTACAGTATAGATGTACGTTGGTAGCTACGGATTTAGTATGTTGGCAGCTATGGACTTAGTGCCTGTTGTATAAACCTTGGCGACGATGTGACTTCGTGCCTATTTGATATAAATTGTTGAAGGAAAACAATGTTGTCACCCCGGTGTTTGTTTTATTTGACATAAATTGCTGAGGGAAAGCAATGTTGTCACCCAGGTGTTTGTTTTATTTGACATAAATTGCTGAAGGAAAGCAATGTTGTCACTCCGGTGATCGTTTTATGTGACATAAATTGCAGAGGAAAGCAATGTTGTCACCCTATTGGTGGTCTTATTTGACATAAATTGTTGAGGAAAGCAATGTTGTCACCTTATTGGTTGTTTTATGTTAGGTTGTCTTGTTTGACATAATTTGCTGAGGAAAGCAAAGTTGTCACCCCGATGGTTGCCTTATTTGACATAAATTATTGAGGAACCTCTGAAGCAATGTTGTCACCCCTAATGAAAATCCTTAGGCTGGGTCCCTTGTGATAGTTGTTTTAGGGAGGTAAGGTGAGGATAACGGGAATGGGTAATTAGGGTTGTTTTTGGTTGATGAAATTAATAAATTATTTTTTGATTGATAAACTTAAAGAGTTTATTATTTATTGTGGGTTGAAAACCCTATATGCTCACCAGGCTTCCAAGCCTGACCCACTCAGCTTTTTATATTACAGGTAGTGGACCCCGAGCATAGTCGGATGATGATGATGAGTGATTTTTGGATTATAGGCCAGTAGTTATAAATGACTGTTGTAAGGCTTATAATGTCTTGTTTATGCTTTTGATGTGTATCGGAACATGACACCCGAGGTTTTGATATAAAAAGGAGATTTTATATTTCTTAAAGAAAGGTTTTGACAAACTTTTATCATGTTTTGTTTTGGGGACCAATTCCACAACATCTTTTAAAAAGATTTCTCTGATTTTATTTCAAAGAGCATAAATTAAATCGGTCTTTTCTGGCCGAGAAATTAGGGGATGTCACAGTTGGTATCAGAGCATTAGTTTAAGCGAATTAGGAATTTGTAGGATTTCTAGACTTAAACTTAGAATGCTAAGTGATGATTGTGAGATGAGTGTCTACCATATTTTAGACACGAGCACTAGTTTATTTTAGGAAAGATGCCTAAAATGCCCTTATGTGCTAAATGTTATATGTTTGCCATATATGCCATTATTTGTTCGGATCTATGGTCTGTTGCCGACCGGATCTGGAAACCTTATGTGTGTAGGAATCTAAGCGTATGATTACGAGATTAGAACTAACATGTAAACGTTTCGGAGTGATAAGGGAATTGACATGTCTAACAAGGATAAAGACCTAAATTCGCCTTATTCGATATATAGATTATAATGGCAAGAACCCGAAGTGGAGCTGGAAATATAAATAGAAATCAGCAACCTCAACCCCAAGTGGTGGAACAGGTGCCTATAGTAGGAGCTGCACCAGAACCCATCACCATGGCTGGAGTACGAACTATGATTCAAACCATGTTGGCTAAACAAAAGGAGGAACTGAGGCAAATGTTGCTGAACAACAGGGATGAACCTTCAGTTCCTGTTGAACAACGTGAATTGAATGACGATCGATCTGAAGAAGGAAACAACAGAAGATCGATTGGTCATAGTGAACCGCTTGTGGTTGGGAGAAATAACCACGAGGGTAGAGTGGAGAGAAATGGGTGCAAGTATAAGGACTTTATGACTTGCAAGCCATCGACCTTCACTGGAAAAGAAGATCCTATCAGAGTAATGGACTGGATCTCGGAAATGGAGTTGGCTTTCATGACTTGTGATTGCCAAGGCAAGTTACAGACCACATTTGCAGTATGTCAGTTCAGGGGTAGTGCTGCTCATTGGTGGAACACTCTGGGGAAAACCCTAAGCCCTAATGAGCCACTGCAACTGACTTGGGCAGAGTTCTTGGAGCACTTTAAGCGCAAGTACTGCTCGGCCCAAAACGTGCTTGAGTTAGAAAACCAATATCTAACGCTGAAGAAAGGGAGCATGACCGTTGATGAATATACAAATAACTTCACAGACAAAATGGAGTTTGCTTTGTGTATTGTCCCAGATGAGCTGGCGAAAATTGGCAGGTACGTAAAGGGACTTCCATGGGTGTATGCGGTGCCAGTACGCCAGGCACTTACTTTGGAGGCAGCTATCTGGGCTGCCAAGTCTGTAGAAGATATGATTAAGGGAAGAGCCGCCAACAAGATTGAAGTTGGCGAGAAAAGAAAGTTTGAAAGGACTTCAGGGTCCAACGAGAAAAGAAAATTCTCGAAGTCTGGAGGAGGAGAAGGCGGAGCAAAATGGTGCGAGAAGTGCAAAAAGAAGCACTTCGGGAAATGTAGCGAAGAGGTGACCTGCTACAAGTGTGGAAAGACTGGGCATTACGCCAACGAGTGTCCGTCCAACAAGAGGATGTGCTATCGATGTAACGAGGAAGGGCACATTTCGAAAGACTGCCCAAAGAAGAAAGAGGCAGTAATGCCCAATGTTCCACCAAAACCAAAACCAAAGGCATTCCAAATGATCCTTAATGAAGCAGATGTAAATACAAAGGATAAGGAGTAAGGACCTTATATTCCCAAAGCTAAGATATAAAGTAGCAATGCAGTTAGTAACTTGTGGTGTAGCCTATTAGAGGCGTAGTATAGGGTAAACTCAAACCTCTGTGTAATTATTTTAAGAAATAATATAAACCCTGGTTTTGTCATCTGATGAATTGAATGACTATGTGAAATTCTTGTATGGTGACTTGGAGAACTGCGAGACAATACTTGGGACGAGTAGGAGTAGGTGTGAATGGTAGTAGAGGCCTATACTACCGGAAGCACAGGACTCGTACTTGGATCAAGGAAAGTCACAAGGTTACCAAGAAGCTAGAAATTGATTACGTTATTGTTCGAGTACTTCATTACCTTCGTTTCGGTAATGACTAAGAAGATGATTGTTATTCCGACCCTAGAGGTCATATCAAATTGAGTCCGACTACGATGAGTTTGCTATGTGGTTCAGAGAACCAAGTTCGATGTAGTAGTTGACTTAAGCCGAATTGAAGTAAAGGATGTTAGCAGCTCAAGATCGTCAAAAGAGCTATGCTGACAAGAAAAGACAATCGATATCATTCGAAGTTGGAGATTCGGTTTTACTTAAAGTCTCGCCATGGAAGGGACTTATAAGATTTGGTAGAAGGGGAAAGTTGAGTCCATGTTTATTGGACCATTTAAAGTTCTTCAGAGGATCGGGAATCAAGCTTAC